ACGCAAATGATGTAAAGTCACGCTAATTTACTGTATCCTGAGCTGGGAACATTAGAATGGATAACCTTTAGTCCCAACTTCTTAATCCGAATATCCACTGTGGAAACTTTTAATTTAAGTCCTTAATCCACTCTTTTTCTCTCTCTTTGGATATCCGTTTTCTCCAATTTGAGTGTAAGATTATAGTTCGTAAATTGTATTGACCAATGATAGCCTTGTAAATAAATTCTATCCCATGAGAGAAATCCGCAATTTCTAACAAATCAAGAATTTGTTGTTGGCCATTTTGTAAATTAATCGGTAAAGAAAAATATTTAATAATACGTTTGAGATTCTTTTTTGTAACCAATTTTAACTAATGTATTAATAAATAAATGGGTGAGAAATTAAGTGAGGGCCCTTTCAGTCAAGAAAACCAACAAATCTGGCGTTCTTAGAATCCAATTTGTTGATCTAAATTTTTAATCTCAAAAATAACATAATCTCGAGATTAGTAAAAACAGAGGATTAAGCATTAATCCTGATATCTAAAGTTCCAGCTCTGGTAGTGATAGTTCTGAGGTGTTTTTTTAACTTTCAAAGGTTCCACTTCAAGCTAAGAAAATTGTTTATCCTATCTTACACTATGCCCTAACCCTAAAAGAAAATATATAAAAAAGCTAAAACAAAAATTGAACTAGTAAAAACTATCCAAATTTTGATAAAAAAAAACTTCAACAGAATACCTAGTTTTGAAATGTAAAAAGTTGTTACAAAACGACTCAAACTATCATACTTGAACCTATGTTTAACACGCTTAAATTATAGACGTGGTCAAACTTATAGTATACCTTCTAAAGTGTGGGGGGGGATATGATATTTACCGCGCGTTACTCAGGCTGGTACATGGGTTCGGTCCGGTTCAAATTCAAACCTTCAAAGTGACCCTAGTCCAGCGTGCTGCAGTTCTGTTGGAGTATTAACTACGTATGTAGTCATCTTTAACCATTTATATTACATTCCTAACATCAGCTGTTTGTTTGTTTATCATCTGCGTTCTTGTTTACAACCTTTGTTATTACTTTTACACACAAACTAGTTTTTGAGCAGTGCAAACTCCTAATACGCCATAGTATAAATTAAAAGTAAATTCTATCTCCCATCTCCAACTTAAAACTTTTTAAAATCCTGTTAATCCTGGCATTCGTAGAAAAAAATATTATATCTACATTTTAAAAATAGAATACGAAAAATAGAATAGGAAAGAAAGAATAGGAAAGAAAGAATAGGAAAGATAAAATAAGAAAGATAGAACAGAAAAGATAGAACAGGAAAGATATAATAGGAAATATTGAATAGGAAAGATATTATAGGCAAGAAAGATATAGGAAAGCCAGAATTGGAAAGAAAGTATAGGTAATATAGAATAAAAAAGATATGATAGGTAATATAGAATAGGAAAGATATGATAGGATATATAGAATAGGAAATATATGATAGGAAATATAGAATAGAAAAAGTACACGGTTGAAAAACAAATTTAATCAATTTTTATTGCTTAGATAAAATGTGTTTGTAAAATTGAAATGTGAAATAATAAGATATTTGTGAGCCATCAACATCTGATTGAAACCATAAGTTTTAATCTCAAATGAACTTGAAAAGATGGAAACTGTTGAAAAAAGAAAACTATTCTCAAGATTTTCTAAATTAAAATCCAGGTTTTTAAAAAATTTTATTTAGTTTTTATTTAGCTATTTATGCACAATATCTAGAGATA